TCTATGCAAACGAGCATTTATTTTTTTATTACATTTATAATTATTTGTCATAAGAATACTAGCAATATAATACTGTATTCAATATAAATACCAACTGTGAAAATGTAAATTAGGAAAGAAGCTTACAGCGCCTTTCAGTGCCATCGATTTACAAGCGAGAGGAAACTATTCAACAGATCTAATATGTATACGAGTCCATTCTCTTTAAAGAGCTATGTTTAAGAAATTGTTTTCTCGGAGACAAAAGTCGTGACAGAAAGTGGCGATCTGCTTGTGTAATCGCTCGTGCAATAATATATCCGCGTAAAAATCTCTGTTTCACGATCTCGTTCCGCGAAGAGCGGCGTAGGTACGCTCAGCCACCCTTAGCATGCTCTGTGCCACCCTGGAGCCACGGTGTAGGGTGATTTTGATGACTCAGGGCGCTTTATATGGGGAATGAAATTACGCCCCATCTCTCCACGGGGACCATTGTAGCCGAAGAGACCAGCAAACATTCTTCACGTTGAAGTAGCTGCTTTGCTCGAGGGAGCTTTTGCAAAGTGGACGCGTCTACGCCGTCATTTGAACAGTATTTCAGCGTACGATCTTATCCATGTTTTAATACGTTGAAATGGCTCCGTTGGAAATTGAGTATCTCGGTTTATTTGAGGACTCGGAATGAATTTTAGGTTATTTGGCAGAGTGTAATGGTGTATAGGGGTAATTGAATGGCTGGAGGCTCTGTGGAGGGAAAGTTGGACGCCTAAAGGGGAGTTATTATCAAAGTATAACGGAGAATATAAATTTTCTGAATAAGAAAATGATAATTAAAAGCACAGATTTTATGAAAACAAGTCGGGTGCTCAGAATAATTTAACAAAGTTTGGTGCTGTATAAATAGTTGATTTATAAAAATTTTAGGTTTACTGTGGAGTTATTATTAAAGTACAACGGGGAAGAGAAATTTTATTAATAAAAACAGAATAATTGAAAGAGCAGATTTGACAGAACGAAATTAGATGTTCAGAATAATTAAAGTAAAATCCAGTATTGTGTAAAATTTTAGCTTCACTGTTTATCGCAGGTACATATAGCTCGATTTTTTAACACGAAAATTTGGGTGACTTGTTGAATAAGGTTTTCCTTAACGCAGTTACGAATTTTCGAGTAAACGAGGGTTACCTGTAAATATTTTACAAAACAAAAATTCGATACCCAAAGTTTCACTTTTACAATATCCACATTTATTAGGTCGTCCCATAACTTGGTGCCGAAAGCGAGAAATACTTTAATGAAAATCCAAGGAAATTCTATAGCGACGACATTACGGTCTTAAAAAGGAAAATTTATGAACTAAGAAGGCGCTTCCTTATTTTTCTCAAATTTGAAGGTTTCTTGAAAATATTATAAAATTCGACGCGAACTTATGGGATGACTTAATATAACTAGATCAACGGTCCACGCGACCCAGAAACAAGACATAAAATTAAGAAAGCTCGTCTCCGATATTTTCCCTCCTTTTTTAAAACACAATTTTAAACACATAAAAACTTGTCATCCGTGCCAAGAATTCTCGTTACGTACTTAACACAGCGTATACTGCAACGCACGGTAGAAAACATCGAAATATAACGGAGAAAACTTGATCGTGTCTATCGTCGAGGAAATCCTCGTTTAATATACACGTTTAGATGACGTCTCGATTACGTGTAATCGTGGGAGACAGTGTCGGGTTTCCAGGATTCGTGTAGAAAGCGTGACCGAAACGAAATCCAAGCGATTCGAAGGGGAATCACGGCGGCGGCGCGGCGTAGAGACACGCATAAATTCTTCTGCGTTCACGGTACCAGCTATGATTACGGTATTATCGGCACGCGATGACCATCACGAAAAAATGTATCAAAGAAATAGGCTAGTTAAGTAGCGTGAGTAGTTATGCATTTGTGAACACTTCAGGCTGCGCTTCGAATAATTGGAGCAACCGTCTACGCCTTTTTCACCGTACCTGCAGATTTATGACGTTCAATGTACAAGGTGCATAGAATGCCTCTTTTTATAACAGATTTCTGCAGTTTTTCCTGGCGCAATTTACGACGAAGGTGATATTTTTATCGATTCAAGGTTCTGGTGATTATAGTGATCGGTCTTTGTGAAATGCATTGAACTTGGTGTTAAACGTTATTCGAATGAAGTAATCTTCTTAATTAAGGATCTTCGTAGCTTTTCATTATTTCTTGCTAAATTCGATGCGTAGGTATATCTTGAGTATACGCGTGAAAAAATTAATTTCAATTTAGCATTCGTTACAGATGCAACGATCGTTAGATAAATAATAAATTCTAAAGAGAAAGTAAATTGTACTGATTCATTCTTTCTTGCTAATTGTAAGTGGGTTGCATATTTTCTATTTGAGTACTAGAATTTAGTATCCATTATAGATCGTTAGGTAAGTAATCAATTTAAAAAAAAAAAGAAATCTTATTAAGAGATTCAATTTGTAACTTAGATAATACGTCATTTCTTTTTACTGAAATCTATATGTCAGCCAGCTCTAAAATATTGAACAGCCTTTTCTCGTCTGTATTATCTGGTTCACTTTTTATCGATCGACACTCGTGACTTTTCTATAGCCATCAGTAATAATATCTTGAATAACGTAGAACGATATGATGCATGATCCCGTTTTAGTTACGCGGGGATGGTACATTCGATGTAACTGACGCTGTTGGAAATTTTTCATCGATAACTGTAGCGTAGGCTTGTGTTTATTAATCGTTTTACGCGGTGCATTCATTGCGCTGTCTGAATGAACGTGCCACTGTTACCCATCAGAGATAATTGTTGCTGTAAACTGATATATGACGACAATTGTTCATCGTATGCGCGTGTATGAAAGATAAAATCGCGCGCTCCGAGAAATCGAATTTATCGATCGAGTGTCGCACGGTCCCTTCCGATGGTAATGTCATGCATCGACTTTATCTGTCGCGCGTGTGACAGACCCCAGTAGCGTAACTAGTCGTACGAGAATTAGGAGCTATATACAGGGTGTCCGTTGTAACGATCGCCACAATTTTTTGAACATTTTCGATAATATGAGAAAAAAGGTACTTAAAATAAAGTTAGCATTCAGTAGACATATTGCAATACTAAAAATTTCTGAAACATTTTTTCTTTTATAAACAAGGAGGTTTTTAAACGGCACCTTATATTGTTTTAATGCTACCTACAATACCGAATAGAAAAAATTATATGGTACTATTTAAAACAGCGAAGATGACATTAATTTTTTATCGAAGAAAAAGTATTTTGGAAATTTTTATTATTGCAGTTTGTTGTCGATTCAACGCTGAGTAATTTTTAATTTTACAATTTTTTCTTGTCAGATTATTGGCGAATGTTTCAGTGAACACCTTGTACATAGGCGTCCCATAATTCAGGAAATTAATTTCCATGTGTTATTGAAAAAATGTTGTTTTCAAGAGCCCCCACAATTTGGGACGTGAAAGATTAAAGAATAATCGGAAAGTAAGTGATTTCTAATAATTCGAAATTTCACTAAAAATTAGCAAAATTAAGAATACATATCCGCAGTAGGCTTTCTTCAGTAATTCCAACTATTCAGTTCTGAACGATAACTAGAACACTCAACCGTACATACCATTCCCATTCCAAAAATCCTCAGACACCCCAAGAATCCTCTACTCCAGTCCATCCCCTCAACAATCACGCCACACGTCACTTCTAAAGCCTCCAACATCTTTCTTATCTCTAACCACCGTGTCTGCCCACCATAAATACAGAGAAACACAGCAGACGAAGATTAACACGACACACATAATTCTTCGATACCATACATATCGAAAGACTCATAAATCGATATAGAATATATAAGTGATTATATAAGTTGATTACAAAATTGAAATTATCACTTATTTTGTCTTGCATCGATTTACATTACGTTAATGTGGAGCTATTTTTGCAAAATAATCAGAAATTCAACCGTTGAATGGAGCTGTCAAAATATTAAAAAAAAAACAGTCAGAAAATGTAAATATTTTGAAACGAAAAATATATGACTTAAGCCACTTTCGTAATCAGTACATATGTGTTTAACATGTTGACTGCCGTGCCGGGCAATGAGTGCCAGCGTGTGGTTTTTGTGGATTATATGAACCACAATTGCGGCGCTGTGGGATAACCAAAAAATTTCGCTCGGCAGTCAATGTGTTAAGAATATGTGCAAAATTTGTATTAGAGTTACAGCGTACTTTGTTTTCAGAAGAAACATATATAAATTTTCCAGTACAAATATTTTCCTGGTGGCCGGGCAAAAGAGTATAAATCAAATTTTGGTCAAAACAGGATGAGTACGCTAATATATTCCACGTTGCTGTCCTTTGCTTATGGTTCTAATAGTGCAAGTCAATTTCACGTCTTTCCCGCTCATTTATCTGAAAATCTAATAATATATGTCAAAAATGCGGTAAATTATAAGTGTTTCTCTGTAAAACTAATAATTCTGACTTATACTCCTTTGCCCGCTCACCAGAAATATAAGGCTACGCACCATCTTCTTGCCACTTCGGTCATATCTCGTATTTTATTTTTAACGAAGGTATCAGTACGTAAAGAGAAGTTAAAAAAATTGATTTTTCAAGTGGTTCAACGTAGTCCAACCCTTTAATGTCAACATGCGCGCTGCCCACGTTGATAACAGAGATTGACGCGAGAGCGTGGTCAGTTCGATTGCATTCGGCCGGTTCGGCTGAATTGCGTGTCCGCCTCGGAGTCAGTCGTTGTCGGGACGGCGAGCCGCGCGGAACAGCGACACGCAGTGTTGCCGGCGTGGTGAGCCGGGAGCGTGACTTTTCTCGTGTGCTGTGCCCTGTCGGCGACCACCTGTGCGTACCATCGCCTTTAGAATTTTCGCTTGCTCGCGATTTCTGTGTGCGTGCGGTCAAAGGAGAGAGAGAGGCACGGGGACAGGTGTTGAGCCTGGAAGATTTGAGGATCAGAGTCGTCGTGTTTCACGGGGTTCTTGGGACTCCAGGCATTCGGTTCTTTGTTCGATTGCACGCTGTTGCTCCCTGAGAGAAGGCATTGGTGAGTGGTACGCTAAGAATCGGAGTTTTTTATTGATCTTTTCTTCGAGTTTTCTGGGGATACGGTGAATTCACTTTTTCCTTTTTCATTCGAATGAATTAACGTTTGAGCGATAAAATTAGGAATTTTCATGGATGGTAATTGTTTGTACGAGGATCGAGCTGTTCCGTTCGCTAACCGATGGCAAATTTCTGTTTTCAAAGCGAGATAACGATCGAGCGACGCGAAGAATGATAGGTTCGTAAGGTTATGGCCGTGAATGGTGATTTCGCGTAGATATCGAGCCGCTCTCTCTCTCTCTGTTTTTACGTTTCATTGGAAATTTTGTTTGTGACGTGGAAAAAGTATACGATCCTGTGATAAGCTGTCTTTGGTGGTTGATTAATCGGTAGTTTTTTCTACAGTCTACTGTTCATCTACCGTAGTATAGATTTTCTTGATTACACGGTGCGAGTATGTAACTATATTCTACATATGTGGTACTACGGAATAGTAGTGAAGAGTATACGTAAACAATTACAACGTCGAATACATTTTTCTGGAATATCGTGTTCGAAGGTTGTGGTTTATTGCACGATATCTTTAGTGCGTTTAGTTAAACGAACGGTAATGTTCTAGCGGAGTGTAGCGTTTCAATGACGGTGTGCGGTTCACCATGGAAATGTTTTGCGATCGAAAGGTCCAGTTTATTCCCACGCGTATTGGCGCCCTGCAATCATGCGTTTATCGCCTTTATTCCATAACTATCAATGTGTATTATCTACGCGTTATCAAACTTTTAATAGTTGTAGTAGCATCGAGTAGGGGTGTTGAGCTTGCCAGGATCAACGAGCTGTCATTTTTCATTCCCATATCTCTGACACCCACGTGTCCTAGTGAAAACATCGATTTCAAAAATATATTAAAATATCTCATTGAAGTTTAATTTTCAATTTCGATATCGTGACTTGATGAAAAAATTAGATATTGAGTTTATGAAGCATAATAATCTTTCACTTTTAATCTCCATATCTCTACATAACCTCACATTTTATTTAGAAAATATCTCGATATGAAAAATTTTACCCACGTGTCACAGTGAAAATACTAATTTCGAAAAATATTACAATATCGCGCTCAAGTTTAATTTTCGAAAAAAGAAAAATTAGATATTGAGTTTATGAAGCATAATATCTTTCACTTTTAATCTCCATATCTCTACATAACCTCACATTTTAATCTCCATATCTCTAGATAACCTCACATTTTATTTAGAAAATATCGATATGAAAAATTTCACCCACGTGTCATTGTGAGAATACTAATTTCGAAAAATATTAAAATATCGCACTGAAGTTTAATTTTCGAAAAAAGAAAAATTAGATATTGAGTTTATGAAGCATAATATCTTTCACTTTTAATCTCCATATCTCTACATAACCTCACATTTTAATCCCCATATCTCTAGATAACCTCACATTTTATTTAGAAAATATCGATATGAAAAATTTCACCCACGTGTCACTGTGAGAATACTAATTTCGAAAAATATTAAAATATCGCGCTGAAGTTTAATTTTCGAAAAAAGAAAAATTAGATATTGAGTTTATGAAGCATAATATCTTTCACTTTTAATCTCCATATCTCTACATAACCTCACATTTTAATCCCCATATCTCTAGATAACCTCACATTTTATTTAGAAAATATCGATATGAAAAATTTCACCCACGTGTCACAGTGAAAATACTAATTTCGAGAAATATTACAATATCGCGCTGAAGTTTAATTTTCGAAAAAAGAAAAATTAGATATTGAGTTTATGAAGCCTAACCCTAGAGCGGTCTTCGGGTCTTTTTTGACCCACCGCCTTTTTATATTTTTAGTCATTTTCATATGTCTCGTTGGAAATAAAAATTATTACACATAAGGTCTTAGGTCCTTTTTGGCTCAAAAGTCTTAAGTGTACAGTCAAAATGATGACCGTTCTAGGGTTAATAATCTTTCACTTGTAATCTCGATACCTCTTCATATACTTAAATTTTCTGTCGAAAAGTGTCGCATCTCTGATACCCACGTGTCACAGTGAAAATGCAAATTTCGAAAAATATCAAAATATCGCACTGAAGCTTAATTTTCAATTTCGATATCGCGATCTGTGTAAGAAAAATTAGATATTTACCTTACGAAGCTTAAATAATCTTTCACTTTCAATCTCGACATCTCCAGTACTATACTTGTATGAAAATGTTCAGTCGAAAAATGAACTTTTCTCGTTTACGCGGTTTCGTTCAAGAAAAGAGACCACCGTGTTAAACTGGCTAGTAAATTCTTATCAGAGCAACCGGACACGCGACACGTAAGGGCACACGTGCATATCGAGTAGGTTCACCGGTTCTAGGAACACCTTGAAAAATCGAACACTCGTCACACGTAGCACATGTTCTACACTCCGACCGTTTACACGTGAATGATCGTGCACCTATGCATTAACTGGCGGTGTATGACTAACCGGTGTGTTACGCGTTACCTTCCTACAATCCGCTTATTGCTCGTTGTCTTAATTGTCCTGGAGCAAGTGTCTCATCGAAAATCGAATTGGCTGTGGCGCTCGTAACCTGCAAAAATAGACGATTACGCGCTCGAGGCAGGTGAATCTGGTCGCTTGCATTCCTTCGAAAATGAAATTCTTCAACTTTCCTGCCACTTTTATATTGATACGAATTTATTATCGTACAGTGTTGCGTAGAAGTTCTTTGTTTCAAAAATTGAATATTGCGGTTAATCCGTTCGCTACAATGTAAAGTTGAGGTTAACCCTTTCACTAACAGACGCAAACAAATATCTGCATGTTTGTTCATATGAAATGACAAACAAGCGATTTGCAAGGATATTTTGACATTTGGATAATGTCGAAGAATTCTCTTGAGAAATAAGGAAGTCTTAATGTATGCTAATTATGCGTGAATTTCATTGATTTAAGTACTTCGTTGAAATTTCAGTATTTGCTCACAAACGAAGTACAATTTATTTTGAATATTTCATGACGAAGTTGCGTAGAAGGTCTAGCCATATGTCTGTAAGAAAGATGAAAGGGTTAAGAATATTTTGAAATATTCATGAAACGAACACTTTCGTGAGAAAATTGCACAGAAAACACAGCGACGTGTCTGTAACAAAGATGAAAGGGTTAAGAATCACAGAGTGTTTAGAATGTCGCTATTATTGTATCGAGGAATCCTACCAATTAACGTACCGTCATAATTGATCAATTTCACCTACACACCAAAATGAACGCTTCCACCTAGTACCTTGATAAAAATATTCACAATAGCGAGTAGTGAATGGTATCTTCTAATAGTGTCTCGCAGAAGGGAAAAAACCGATCGATGAAAATACCACCTTGCTCGGGATTGGCTTTCGAGATTGGTCCACATCCAACCTGTGCTCCCTCGGTGTTATTTTAACCACATTTATTTCAATTGAATAGTAGCCCCTCTCGAACAAACCAAAAAAAAAAAAAAAAATAAAAGAAATAACAACCCTTCTAAAATCAATGGAAAATTCCAAACAAACGGTAGTGAAATACATAAAACGATTCGATAGGAAACAATAGAATTCGAGTAGAAGTTTTATGGTCGAACGAATCGGGGAACGTATCGTCACGAGCACACGCGGTTTTATCGCACGTGCGGCATTCTGGCGTGTCGAACAACGTAGAAACGGAGTATAATTTGGTCTTGGTCTCTTGGCACGAATTCCTGTACGAGCGTTTTCGAATCAGGATTAAAAGATTCTGACTATTATCACACGGGCCACGATCCAACGGTCGTGTGCGGATAAACGTGAAAGAGACAAGTCTCTCCTGTGTAGATTTCCTTCTTCTTTTCCCCATCTCTCTCTCTTTTATCTCTAGCCTCCCTGGTTTTGCTTCCTTCTGTTTTATACCTTTTCTCGTGTTTGACGAGAAAGGGACAGTTAAGCCAAGGTTGGCGTATTTTCGAGAACCAGTCGAGTATGCAAATGTTGAATCTTCCTCTCCTCTTTCTTTCGTTTTATCATTCGGACGGCTGTTATCACGTCGCGGTCATATTTAATTATAGCGGAGTTTATTTATACAGGGTGCGCCGATAGTGTGTGACGATTTTTAAAGAGTTGGTATTTTTTCTTATTTGTTTTTTATATTCATTCAGCATCCTTGGTAATAATAATTGAAGTGTTATTTTTTGAAAATAATATTTTCATAATCGCAGTGTCGGTAATTATGTTACCAAACGATGGGCTATCGTAGAGTTGAAGGAAACTGCAGTTAATGACATTCGAGTCGTCGATGTTGTATAATTACAACGATTAATGGAGAATTTTCCAATATGATTGCAAAACTATATTCACCGTGGAAGAGGGAACTTGGAGAATTTCACTTCCAAAAACAAACGAATAATTAATAAATTGCATTACGCGACTACGTTTTAAAATAAAAGTATTTTATTTATATTTAACCTGAGCCTGAACCTCAACCAACATTCTGTTGCCAAAATTAAATAGGCTGCTATTTATTGGGTCAGTATTTAAAATAAAACATTAGTATGTAATATAATATTAACATTCATTTTTATGTTATTATTTTCCTATATTAGGTGTAGCATTTTCATGAAATATTGAATTATAAATATTATTTAAAAAATATTAAAAATAATATTTGCATTTTTTTACCAACGTTGTTAATATTAAAATTACAAAGAATTGTATATTTTAAGTTCAGAACAAATTATTGTCGAATCTAATGTTATTTCGGAAGTGGAAACATAAAAAGTAGGTATGTACAAAAAGAAAATTCCTCACGTTAGTGTACCAAGTGGAGGAAGTATTCGGATGCACTTTTGAAAATTGTCAATATTTTCCCTAGGAAAAATGAAATAGTTGTGTCATGTATGCAACACTCTTGTTTACTTCATTTCTACTTAATTTCGTTCGTTCACCAGACAGTCGTCCTTCAATTCCACATTCCCCCGCACTCTTTA